CTGAACTCAGGGTGGGGGGGACCAGACCTAATTCAAAAAGAGGAAAAACTACAAAAACCTAGAACAAACTAAGGAACAGTGCCAAGTATCAAGCTAAGCTAAACCCAACAAAAAGAGGGACACTCACAGAAAGGGGACCAAACTGGGGCAGACAGGCTCGGGGGATCTGGGGTCCGGTCCGAGTTGAGGGGGTCCAGGTTCGTGATGTGCTGTTCTGTGTCGAGTAGTTTAGGGTGATTTTTGTCACGCGCATATCGAGGTGTGTGTCGATGACGTCTGTGGCTTCGCTCGAGGACTCGCCAACCAGCCATACCATGTGACTGCTTCAGGAAGCATTCGCAGCTTTGAGTCAAATACAAGAGCCGGCGAACCGCAGCGGATCTCCCTCACATTTGGTGGATCTGGGACTTACTGTGCGAACCAAGAGTACACAGTAGATGGTAAACATCCCACTTGTGGCTCTATAACTGCACAAGCCATAAAATCCCCCCAGAAAGAGCCTTTAATAAATCAGCTTAAATAAAATACATGTTTAAATTATACATTTATAAAGGAACATGTTTAAAGCAGATACATATTGTTAAATTTAAAATCTGATAAAACAGCTTTAAATGATCAAACGCATTACAAAACAACAGCACACTGGACTGAGTTGGATAATAGACCCAAAAATGTCAGAACCAACACAACCAGACTAAAGCAGGGCTGGTTCAAGAACACTGAGGTATCTAGCCAGCTACCTGTTGGTCATGGAGCCAGCAAGGAGGAGGAGATGTTCTCCTGTCTGGGAGCATGTTGAGCTGAGCTCTCCTGATAAGGTGGGCACAGAATAATAATAGTGTGATATATATATTTAATATTATAGATAAACATAAATGTGACTGTGTAGCCCTGTACTCATATCCATCTGCCAAATTCTGGCATTTTAAAAGATGAAGTGTTGGCTGTGTTCCAAAGAAATTGGATTTTCAAAAGCAGGTGAAATGATCTTTTTTTTAAAAAAAAAAAAACAACAACAAAAAACAAAAACAAACACCCGCCTGAAGCCAAGCACTGTTGAAAAGTTGTTGTTCTGAATAAATGTCCCCAAACACAAGTAACACCAGCACAGTGAACCCTCGCTGTCACTGGAATCACCACCTGCTTTACATTTATCATCCACCTGATGGCGCAGTAGAGCAAATGAAGCTCCATGAAGGTTCAGCCCATGTGGGAACTGCTCGGATGGAAAGCTTCAGTGCTTCATGAGGCTTCATCTCGTCATCAGTAGTCCAGTTGGCAGTGGCTCAGGAGACAGAGCACGACCAGCACATGAAGGTCCAGGGACCAGGGATGAAGGTCTACGGTCTGGTGGTGAGGAGGAATAAGCTTTGATAGCAGGAGGTGGAAGACTGGTGCAGGTGAGCCGATCCCACATACCTGTAATCAAGGGTGAGCAAGGAGGAGAGAGAGAGGGAGACAGGCTATAGGGCTGGGGGTCATGACTCCACCACCAGCTGAGACCAACAGGAAACATCCAGAGAGTTTCAGGTGAACTGCAGCCAGAGTTTCCTCAGAGAGACTGAGAGGAGAATCCATCCTACTGGATCAATGAATAAGTGCAGCATGGATCAGAACCAGAGACCAGAGGAGCCAGCTGGTGGAGATACATTCATCTGATGATGGAACATCTTTCTACATCTGGAGACATGGAAACAGTTCAACATCTGTCATCTAAAGGAGCATTTCTATTTCATGATTTACTGGTAGACACTGTGAGAAACACTATGAGTCTTTTGGAACTTTAGGAAGTGATTTTCTAACTGAGTCCTGCTGACAGAAGACGCCTCTGAGTTCTCTCTCCTCTTTTATGTTCTGGTTCTACAGAGCTGCAGGACTTTATGTTGAAACAGGAACCTCAGTGAGACAATGAGAAGCTGCTTAGAGCTCAGAGGAAACAGCTGGACCTTGTCAAAACCTTTGCTCAAAATGTTAGAACCATAGAACCAAATCATCAGTCACTGTGTTTATCTGGTTCCAGGCTTTCCATCAGTGTGTCCAACAGAGGGCGCTAGAACACAACAGTACATGAATAATAAACTTGAGAAGTCATTCAGGACCTTAAAGACACAACCATCTCAGAAATCTGAATATTTTCCATTTTAACCAACATCAGGTCGAAT